ATGCAAGAAACCTCATGGATTTCATCGGATCACACTACTCAGAACCAAACTGACCATATCTGCATTAATAAAAGGTCAGAAGGACCGTGGAAGACACGCAAACCAAGAGAGGAGCTAAAACACCCTCAAATCATCGCTTGCTGGTCTGAAAAATGAAACTGGAACTCAAGCAGCACCGAAAACCGGGCGGATAACATCACTTTCTTTGGAATACTAAAAAACTTAGTGAATTCAAGATAGCCCTCGACAATATGTTCCAGGCTTTTCACTATCTACTCAGTGCAAAGAAAACTACCATTCAATATAATTGAAAAGTGATCAATGAAGCAGTCACTTCAGCATGTTAGAATGTTCTGGGCCACAAGGAATGGATCACAGTTAGTACTCTTGGTAAATTTCAAGGAAGGAGAGACAAGAAGGCTGCAATCAATATCATCCAAACAAGAGCGGAAAAAGATACGACGCAGAAGCAAACAAGCAAGTGAAGAGGAGCATCAGAGCCGACAAACGAAAATATGTGGATGATCTAGCAATGACGGCGGAAAAGGCTGCAAGAGAAGGGAAAATAAGAAAACTGTACGATCCAACAAAGAAGCTCTCTCGAAACTATCATAAACCAGAACGACCAGTGCAAATCAAGGAAGGCAAAGTAATCAGCATCACAGAAGAACAGCGAAACAGGTGGGTAGAGCACTTTAAGGAATTCCTGAATCGACCAGCCCTACTGAACCCACCCAACATTGAAGCAGCATCCATGGATTTTCACAATCGATGTTGGCCTACCAACAACTGAAGAGATTAGAGTATCTATCAGACAAATCAAGAGTGACAAAGCAGCTGGACCAGACAACATTCCAGGAGAAGTAACGAAAACAGATGTAAGAGCAACTGAAAAATATTCTACATACTCTTCAACAAGATTTGGGATGAAGAAATACCAACAGATTGAAAATAAGGATGCCTCATCAAAATACGAAAGGAAGGAGATCTCAGCAAGTGTGAGAACTACAGAGGCATCACTATTCTCTCAATAGCAGGCAGAGTCTTCAACAAGATATTGTTAATCAGAATGAAGGACTTCGGAGACGCCCAACTCCGAGACCAATAGGCTGGATTTCGTAAGGATCGATCGTGAAGCGACCTGATTGCAACATTACAGATCATTGTGGAACAATCGACTGAATGGAACTCCCCACCCTACATCAACTTCACTGACTACGAGAAAGCATTCGATAACGTGGACAGGACAACTATACTGAGGCTTATTCAACACTACGGAGTGCATGGGAATTTAGTTGACACAATACTGAATTCTTGTGATGGATTAAACTGCAAAATCGTGTGCGGAAGACAGCTGAAAGATACATTTGATGTGACGACCGGTGTCACGCATGGGCAGCATCATAGACAATCTAGGTGAATCCGATGCAGATGTGAAGGCGCGGTTCGGCAAATCAAGAGCTTCATTTCTACAATTGAACAACATCTGGAACTCCAAACAACTATCATCAAAATCAGAATTTTCAATACAAATATCAAGACAGTTCTACTGTATGGAGCGGAAACTTGGAGAACAACCAAAGCCATCATCCAGAAGATACAACTATTTATGAACAGTTGTCTTCGCAAAATACTTCGGATCCGTTGGCCAGACACCATCAGCAACAACGTACTGCGGGAGAGAACAAAGCAGATTCCAGTGGAGGAGGAAATCAGGAAGAAGCGGTGGAAAAGCACCCAACTGCGTCACAGGACAAGCCCTCACCTGGAACGCTCAAGGTCAAAGGAAGAGAAGGATACCAAAGAACACATTACACCGAGAAATAGAGAAAGACATGAGAAGAATGAACAAAAACTGGAAAGAACTGTGAAGGGAAGCCCAGGATAGAGTATATTGGCGAATACTGGTGACCGGCCTATGCTTCATTGGGACTAATAGGCATAAGTTAAGGTTGATGATATGCGCCAATATCCATATTAATAGTTGTCTTTATATTTGAAGAAGAAATAATTTCTAACATGACAATTTTTCTAGATTACAACAAAAATCAAAACATCAGTGTGAGTTTGTGCTCACTTTGTGGTGAGCACTACTCACAAGTAGTATATCACGCGAGTAAAAACGTGATGTCTGGCAGCAGAAGATGGGGGAAGATCAAGAAAGGAAGAGTGGGAACACAATGGAATTTGTATGAAACGCATGAATAGTGAAATGTCAGACAATGGATTGATGATGGATTGAAGATTTGCAAATTAACGGTTACGATATGGTTTTCGTATTTTACCGAGTAACTCTGTAATTTTCGTTAAATGCAATTCGGTTGCCCTCACCTGTCTTCTCCTTCACTACAACTTTACACTATCTAAAACACAGTTTTCTTTATATGATTTAATTTTATTCAATTATACAAATTAATTTTCATGTATTGATTAAAACTAATGTATTGAATCAGCAGTAATAGTAATTTTTTCAATGCTCATTAAATTAAACTGTTGACTATTGATACGATGCTAATTCAATAAATGATTTAATCACATTCATGAAAATACACACTAACTAACTTAGACAACTAAAAAAAAACATAAACTCTCTCTGTACATATAAAACATACCTTTCAATAATAGTCAATTCTTAATCCATTTTTTTTCTAAACAGTTTTAATGAATCAATAAAAAAACTTGTCACTGATCAATATTTAAGTGAATCTATTTAAATGGATGATATTACATTAGATGATAAACATTAAATTTTCACTCTATTAACAACAACAACAAAAAAGGATAGGAATAAATTGGGCACCAGTTGATGCGTCTTAATTATTCATGATCATATTGTACAGTAACTAATCTGATCACATTAATGAATGCCTACTGTTTTTTCTTAAAAAATATATATATATATATAATGGTCTCCCCAAAAATAACACAAACATTTTAATTCGTCTTTTTTTTTAATTTTTTTTCTACATTTAGAAAATAGATATTTAAAATATTGTCTACAGTAAATTCTTTGAATTTCATTAAAAAGCGTAGTTACTATGCCTTGGTTTTAGGTTTAAATCGGTTAAACTCTTGACCTCATCACTATGATATATATATATATATATATATATATATATATATATATATATATCCAAATGCAATGACTTAAGTGCTTATCTGTAAGTAATATTATTATTATTACTATTACCATTACTATTACTACTACTATTAACACTATGATTGTTAACACACATACTAATTTTTAATCCATTCTGTATTATCATGCCTAATTTGAATGGTTGGTTGATTTAGAAATCACTTTGGTTGAAACAATTGTGCTTAGTGAAAATTGGACAATTTACAGAGAAAAATCAATAATCCTTATAATAGTTATTATCATAATCATAATAATAATAAATACTTTGTTCAATATTTCAATAGATAATGATGATAATTATTCGAGAGTTTGTATAAAAATATTTATTTATATTAACCGAATCTATCATCAGGTATGTGTACACATGTGTTTTTATATGTTTTCTAATTGTACATGCATATATATGGATAGATAGATAGATAGACATATACATACATACAACAAAAAGTAAGGTGTGGTGGGGATGGTTGTGAAAATAAGTAACAAGACGGGAATCATTATGACACATGGAATTAGTAAAAAACTAAATCAATCGAGCAATGAAAACAAAACAATGAAAAAAATTTCCATTGTTTTTTTCACTATAAACAGTAGACAACTAACTATACAAGTTTTGAATTTTCGAAAAAAAAACTATTGTCAATATTTGAAATTGGAATTTCAACTGACTATATCACATATATACATACATGTCTTTGTATGTTTGTACATGTATGCATGTATGTGTGTGTGTTTGTGTGTAGGTATGTATGTATATATGTAGAGAATTATTGTAAATGTAAGAATAAGCGAACACATTTTAATCCAAATCATTGTTCATCTATGTAAACAAAACAGAATTCTTCAATGTACGATTCGACTAGTTAACGTCATATATAATGAGTTAGTGTTCATTGATTGTTGTAGAAAATTTGTATAAACATGGATACATTTGATTTTATGCTTACAAACGTTGTAGAATGTATAAACATGCATTTATATATGTACAATAATTTAAACAAACATAGCTGCTACATACGTTATGATAAACTTATAGTAACAAGTGGTGAAAGTTTTTGCATTTAGGTTTTTAAGAAAAATTAGTTTTAGATAACATACAGTTATTATTATTATTATTACTATTATTATTAATCTCAATATATTTTCTGTTTAGAGTTGTGGAGATTGTTGCTGATTGTTGAATTCATGAATCAATCATGATTAGACCACGATTAGAAACCTGAAAGCACTGGAGGGCCATTTTGTTTTGGTATGGGACTCATAAGTGGTACGCATCCATGAGTCCTGCTACTAGAAGGATTCGAACCCAGAACCTTCGGTCTTACGCGCGAACGCCTAACCTCTTGACAACTTGGCCGGTATCCGGCAGTGTGAATGTCTAACTCTGATCAATCTAGGGATTTTGCGTGACCTCACCCATTTTTTGTTCGCTGGTTACTGCCTACACCCGACTGGGGATGAGTTTCATTGAAATCGTTAATCGATCAGCATTAGACCATCATTAGAAACCTAGAAACATTGGATGGCCGTGCACGGGGTCGTATATGCGCGCTGCTGATGAGTTCCATACTAGAACGAAACGACTTTCAGTACTTCTACGTTTCTAATGGTAGTGTAACATTGATCGATTCAGGATCTCAATAATTCTTAATTATGTAAAATGAACAGAGTTTTATTCATTTTTCGAAATTTTTTCACTGTTTGGTTTTTCACATTAAGTGTTTATGTTACTTGAACTATATAGTCTAATTCTCACAGAATGTCATCAGTGAGACATTACTTTTATTACTAATAGGTTGACTGTTGGAAGTTATTAAAAATTGAAAAAAATCGTCTTAAACTTAATCAGATATAAACTCACGCCTATTATTATTATTATTATTATTATTATTATTATTATTATTATTATTGTTACTGTCATTAAATAAAGTGATTTGATTTGATTCGAAGTAAGATATAAATTCAGTAATGAATACAACCATCTTCATTGTCACTAAATTTAAAATCATTGTCACCTTGTTCCTCTCTGATAAGGCATAAAAACAAACTACTTTGTAGATTCCGATTTGAAACTTGAAACTCATTGATACATCTTTGATCAGTAGTCAGTATTTGGTTATATTACTGTAGTATCTTAAGGATACTATATGATAAACATATCTCATGGCCCTTTTTATATTAAAATTATTTGAACAGTAAACAAAAGATTTAAAACTAACTAAAAAAACTGACATTAAATTAATGATTTATGCTTAGAAGTAAATTAACCTTAGATTTTTTATATAATTTAAATTTAGTGTACTTCTTTAGTTTGGAAATCTCAGAAATTATCCCAATCTATGTGAGATGTAAGTGAAAACCTGTAGAACTGCATATATACTATGCATACTACTGAAACTGTGAAAGACAGATTTAGAAATCAGAAACCATGTGTGATCTACATTTTACTGAATCACATAGGTCTCTTCGAAACATTGCTGTGATTCTTTCGTAGGGATCAGGTAAACAATGTTGAGCTTTGGCGAACGGTACTAGGTAAAGGTGCGAAATTAAGTGGTGGGAATGTAAAACTTCAGCCGAGTTGGATAAGACATACCATAAATAAATCCAACCGCTGCTTACCTCAATAATCGATGCTTGGTAGTGAAGAAATAGGTTTAAAGAAAATAAAAGGTAGGCCAAGTAAAACCTGGATTTTACAATGAAATCAGTTACAGTACAGCTGAGCCATCTTGTCGAAAACCTACTACCTAGTTTTTGTATCATTATTACTGAGTTCCCTGGTTATCAGAAGGGACATCGGCCGCGTAACTTCCAAAGAAACTCGGCTGTCTTCATGAGACGTCATAACTCGTCGAAATGAGGATCTTCCAACTACCAGGGCAGAGTTTTTTTCTTGTTAGCGATTTTATAGAGAGTTGGCTTTCTTCAGGTTGCTAAACACATGTTAAACTCTCCTCCCTTCTCGAGACCGACAGTAATTCTACGACGGCTCTAGATGGATTATGAAGACTTCGAAATGCTAGGAAAAGCATGGAATACAGTGGACAGCTTGGATGCAGCTAGATGATCTGGACTCCACAGATGATCTAGCTCTTCTATCCCATTTACAAGAGAAAATGCAGGAAAAGACAACAGCCTTTGCGGTAGTACATATCACACACACAAGAGGAAAAGAAAGATCCTCCCATACAACACAACACGCACCAACCTAATCACATTCAACGGAAAAGTTTTAGAAGATGTAGAAACATTTACCTTACCAAGGTAGCATCATTGACAAACAAGGTGGATCTGATGCAAATGTGAAGGAGTAAATTGGCAAATCAAGGGTCATACTTCTACAACTGAAGTGCATCCAAAACTCACAACAACTACCAAAATACATCATAGTCAGTACTTTCAATACAAATATCAAGAGAGTTCTAGTGTATGGAACGGAAACTTGGAGAACCACAAAAGCCATCATCCACAAGATACAGGTGTCTATCAACAGTTGTCTACACAACATAATCCTCATCTATTTGCCAGGAACTATCAGCAGCAATTTACTGTGGGAGAGAACAATCCAGATTCCAACGGATGATTAAATAAGGAAAATGGGGTGAAGGTGTATATGACACATATTGTGGATATCATGGCAAGCCGTAATTTGGGATCTTTAAGGAGAAGGGAGAAGAGGTGGATGAAAGAACATATTGGGCTGAGAGTTGGAGAGAAACTTGAGAATAATAAGTAGCAATTGTTTGGAAATTGGAAAAAGAGTGTAGGACAGAGTTGGTTGTTAACGCTGGTCGGTGACCTATGCTCCATTATGGGTAACAAACGCAAGTAATTAGATCTAGATTCTGTGCGCACGACCACCACAATTAGTGATTAGAGGCATTAAACTATATGGATCTAAATCGGTTTAAAATGGAGTAAAGTACTTTTTTCTGTTTCTTCTCCATGGTTCTTGAATTCCCGTATTCTTCATTACAAACTTTTCCACTGTCTTTATGATGGCTATTCTCAACGTTTAGACTTCCTCGCTATTATTACTACTATCATATTTCAATTTGTGTTGTTATTTTTGCTTTGTCGTGCTAATCTATTTACAGTAATTTAAACTTATGCACCTGTTGATGAGGACTGATAAGTGACAACAGAACAGATGATCACCACAATCTTACTTTAGCCAATGAATCTAAGTAAAAGAGTTTAAATTTTTTGATTCCATTCAACTGCCTTAGTATATAACCACTATCTGTTCATTTACAGCCAATTTCTTAGAATATATATTTCCTAGTGTTTTAGTGTAGATACTGTTACCTGTTGAGTTAACCAAGTGTAAAAACAACTCAGGACAATTATTCATAGAATTAGATAATAATCATGATGTTAATGTAGATATTGACTAAAATCTTTGACTGTTCTTCATAATTCATGAAAAATAATTTATTTTAAGAACATTTTATTAGTTATTGAATGAAATGAATCAATCTTTGAT